AGAGAGAGAGAGAGAGAGAGAGAGAGAGAGAGAGAGAGAGAGAGAGAGAGAGAGAGAGAAACCCTAACTCCCTAGGACCCCATTTCCTCCCCCCCGACCCCCCACCTTATCAAGAGTATTATCTGTCCCCATCAGTTTCATATCTGATCCGTTGTACATCGGGACCACTAAAAAAGAAAAGAAATGGAAATGGAAAATCCGCAAGGGTGCGCGAGACCATCGGAAAGAAAAAGGAAGGAAAATCCGGACGAGCACGCGCCCGTGAGAGAGAGAGAGAGAGAGAGAGAGAGAGAGAGAGAGAGAGAGAGAGAGAGAGAGAGAGAGAGAGAGAGACCCTAACTAACGACGATCCCCAGGCCCCCACCACCACCATCAACTGTATATACCGTATCTGTCCCAATCAGTTTCATATCTGATCCGTGGTCCATCCAGACCATTAAAATAAAATAAAATAAAAACGGAAAATTCGCATGGGCGCACGCAAAGAAACAGAAAATCTGCATGAGCGCGCGCGCGCGCGCGAGAGAGAGAGAGTGAGAGAGATAGAGAGAGAGGCTCGAACCCCCCCCCACAATCAAGTGTTGTATGTGTTCGGATGAGTTCCATATCTAATCTGTGGTCCATCGGGACTTTAAAAAAAAAAAAAAAACCCGGAAAATCTGTGAGTTTTCCGGAAAAAAAACACAAACAGAAGCACGAGTGAGGGCATACTCACACGGGGACCTATAATCCCAAAATCCCAAAAAAAAAGGGAAAATGCCGGTCACACGGATCTACCAAATTCGCAAATGTACTATTCCAATGCCCATTTGTCAGCGGCCTGGCGGGGCAAGGGATTTTGCGGTCACCTCTGGAGGTGGAGGTGACCGCAAATGCCCTTTTTGTTTTTTGCATTTTCTTCAAAAATTGGCAAAAAATCGTTCACAGAAGTTCTTGCACAATTTGTGGATGGAGGAGCCGTGTGACCAGCCAAGTACCAAATCCCCATTTCTCCAGACGGCCGCGACCTTGTCCCATCTGAAAAGGTACAGCAGTGTGACGTGAACCATGCCCAAAACCGCAAATGGATCCTTCCCAAGGGTCGCCGTGTGAGTATGCCCTGATTTCGGGAAAAAGAAAAGCGAGCGCATTGGACGCGCATGCACGCAGTCAAAAGAGAGAGAGAGAGAGAGAGAGAGAGAGAGAGAGAGAGAGAGAGAGAGAGAGAGAGAGAGAGAGAGAACGGTTAGGCAGGAGAGGGAGGGAGCAGACGGGCGCTTGAGCAGAATGGTCCATCGGGACCAATCAAAACGAAGGGAAAAAAAGCGGAAAATCCGCAATCATGTCTGCGCACCAGTCTGTGTGTGTGTGTGTGTGTGTGTGTGTGTGTGTGTG